TGCACAGTGAGACCCTGTACTAAATAAATAAATAAATAAATAAATAAATAAATAAAATATTTTTTAATGTAATAATGGAGAGGCTGGAATATAGCTCAGAGGCATAAGCACCTGCCTGGCAAGTACAAGATCCCAAGTTTGAACCCCAATACAAACAAACAAACAAAAAAAAGAGTAATGATGGAGCCATGAATAGTGTCACATACCTGTACATACCTGAATTTATAGCACTTGGGAGGCTGAGGCAGAAGGATCACTGTGATTTCAAGGCCCTGTCCTAAAATAAATAAATACGTTTAATTTCATAATAATGTTGAAAAAATTATAATGCCTTTTATTAGATATTTTAAAATCCTTTGCATCACTGAAGACAACTGGAAATCATTTAAAGTGCTTTGAACACCATGACTAGAATTACAAGCCAATACCAAAGTATTACTTATGTTACAAGGCTTTAGGAAATTTGACTAGCAATGACTATGAATCCTTTACATGGGTTTTTGGCTACTACAGAGTATCATAGGAATAATTACAGTTTCAGAAACCACTACTCATTACCAAAATTCAATAGGAGTAAGATATAAGAACAGAGAAAACAGATACACTTAAGGAGTAGAATTAAAGCTCAAAGACAACCTACCACTAGCAAATCGCCACTACCCCAGGCCAGCACAGACATCTTATTATTTCTTTGCTGTCTGAGCACTAAAATCCTTTAACACCATTTGATAAAGTGCCAATAATTTCACCTGAATAGTCTACAATATGGAAACTGAGTATTTTTAGGAAGCAGATTTCTGTCTGGCATTTAAGATACAAGCAGCAGTGATTGAGGCCTTCTATATTCTTGGGAGCTTCGTAAAGTTACCATTTTTCTAGAGTTTAATCATTTACTTACTGCCTGCTGATTTTGCCACTTATCCATGAACATATTTTGGCACAAATGGCTCTCCCTCATCTTGGAATGTAAATGTATTTATGACACATATGTGCAACACAGGAAGAACATATGAACAATCAAAATCAGGAAGTGTTGTTAAATCACAGTATTGCAGTGCATTCTTTCATTCAGATGCTTTGGTTTTCTCAACTATAAAATGATGATAGTGAAAATAAATAGGATAAGGCAGGCCCAGCACTTGGCATTGTGCTTGGCCCAGTGGTTTCCATAGTTACCATTAATGATGGTGTTGATATATGGCCAGCTTTACCAGTATTATACTGACATGTAGAGAGCTGTGTCTAGACAGAGATGGAGTTAGAGACAGGGCACTGTTGCAAATTCAGTGCTAAATAGAGCTTTCAAAATGGCAAAATTCCAAAATAACCAAAGATGGCTTTAAGGCCTAAAACTCACCTAAGAATTTCTAAACCCATGTCTTCAAGATACAAAATTCCACTCATGGACCGCCTTCATTCCCTCATCAAGCCAATCCATTCACCCTTGCAGATCTCTGCTCCTAGGGAGTGGACACATGTCCTACATACTGCGGAAATGACTTCTTCCCATGGAAATCTCCCCCACCAAACTGTGGATTTCTGAGAGCAAGTTCTGAATCCTGCAGCCTTTGGCTCTTTGCTCTGAATTTGCATTCTCAGAGCCAAAGAATGCTATTGGCCCTACAAGTGAGAGTCAAGGAGAAATGATGTAAAAGAAAAGTCTTCATTTAAATATTTAGATCGCATGCTTCTGAATATGCAAAGAATTTAAGAACTTCTAAATCCTACATTTTTCTAGAAACTCTGACACAGCATTTAAAGAATTCCTATCATTGTTTGCTCCCTACCTTAATCCATGCTGCTTTGATCTTTTGACAAGGATTTCTTGAGCATCTCTTGGATGTAACAGTCCTCTGAGAGCTGTCTGCCTTTGTGATACTTACTTTCCCAAAGACAGATATAGAATTTAAAAAGTCAAGGTGGAAATTGTCAGGAATAGGTAGAAGGTGATATGTGTGGTACGCATTGGGAGTGAGATATAGGAGGGATAGAGAGATGGGGGAATTAGGTGTGCTGGGCTCAACTTCAACGGGGCTGCTGAAGGTGTGTGACAGAGAGGCAGAGAGGATGGCAAATGCACAAAGCATCTGTAGCAGGTATGACAGTGCTCCATGCAGAGTGACAAGTCTATGCAAGGGTGGCTGGCACATCTGGAGTACAATGAGCAGGCCAGAGTGCATGGACCACAGTGCACTGGGCAGGGTCAGGATGAGAGACAAGACTGGGAGGTCATGAGATAGACGCTTGGTGTACCATGCACCACCGCCATGGAGTCACCATGAAGAGCATGACTCTAATCTGAGTCACAGAGAGAGCTACTGCAGAGTTTGCCTCAACTTACCATTCTCCTCCTACATGAAGCTTCCTAGAGTTGTTGTTCTAACCTTTACTCAGTATTAACTTTGCTGCCCATGTTTTCTACAAAAACTTTTATTAAAGCCCATCTCAGTTTGGCATCAAGTGTGCTTCTCCTAGGCCTAGAACCTGGGCCTCTGTCCTGGACCTACCATTTTAGAAAGCTTGCCCTGATCTGTCCTTCTCCTGGCTGTACCTCTCCCCATGGGGTAAAGAATCCAAGAAGGTGAGGGCCTTGTGCTCCTGGCCTGCCTCCCTCCTTCCAGACTATACTCAGAGACTCGGAAATTTTCTTTACAATTGAACCATTTCTGCCCAAGCAGTCCCCAAGCACTACCATTCTCAGGGACTGCACAGCCCCTTTCTCCAGGTCCATCTTTCCTGGTTGGCTCACACTCCATCACTGCAAACCTAAGCCCCCAGGGGCCAGAGTGTGGAAATTTGCAGAGGGGTGTAGAGCTTGGGCTTCTAGGCCAGTAGGGGGATCAGAGGGGCAGGGTATGTCTTGGATGGAAGCCTCCTGAAGTTCAGGTAGAGTCAGATGGAGCTGGCTGTGGCCAGGGCTCCAACCAGTCTTATAAAGATCCAGGCCCTGCTATAATGTTTAAGTATGTGGTTCATTTAATCTACTGGAAGATAAAATAAGTAAAATTCTTAAATACATGGGTATAGGCAAAGCCCTTATGAACAAAACCCTGATCACACAGTAAACATTACCCAGAATTAACAAATGGGGTCAGATCAAGTTAAACAAAAAAACAAAAATGCACAGCAAAAGAAACAACTAACAGAATGAAGAGACAACACACAGAGTGGGAACATAATGCAACCAGCCACTCCTCAGACAAAAGACTAATATGTAGGACATATAAAAACCTTAAAAATTAGACCCCTCCCAATTTAAAGACCTAATCCAAAAATGGGCATCTGCAATGAATAGACACTTCTTTTTTTTTTTAATTTTTTTTTAATTTTATTTATGTGTGTGTGTGTGTGTGTGTGTGTGTGTGTGTGTGGCCAGCTCAGCCCACCAGGGGGCGGGCTGGCTGGCATGTGGTGCTGGGGGATTGAACCGCGGTCCCTGTGATTCGCCAAGCCTGTTCCAAGTAGGTGCTTTAGACCACCGAGCCATCTCACCAGCCCCTGAATAGACACTTCTCAGATGAAGAAATAAGAAAAGTCAGTACATGAAAAAATGTTTGACACCACAGGCCATGTGAGAAATGCAAATTAAAACAGCACTGAGATTTCATCTCACTCCAGAAAGAATAGCTATCATCAAGAAGTCAATTGGTATCATCAAGAACCACTAGGGTTGGGGACATAGCTCAGCAGCACAGAGCCTGCATTGCAAGTGTGAGGCCCAGAGTTTGATTCCCAGTACCAAAAAAGAAAATAGAAAAAAAAAACAAAAAAAAACAAAAAAAAAACCAAGGCCAGCCAAATAGCTCAGTGGATTAAAGCTCTTGCAAGCAGATGCAGGGGCCAAGGGTTCAATCCCCAGGTCTGCTGTGCCGGCCCTACCCCCAGGGCCTGCTGAGATAGCAATTGAGACTGGGCATGGTGGTGCATGCCTGTAATCCCAGCTCTTGGGAGGCTGTAAACAAGTGGATCACTCCAAGTCCAGTCTACATAGTGAGACCCTGAACACCCTGTAGACTCTATACCAAATACAAAAAAAAAGTCAAAGACATCGTACCACAGTGATGTGTGCCTGCCTGTATTTATAACAGCACAATTCATAATAGCTAAGTTGTTGAAACAGCCTATGTATCTACCAGCTGACAAATGGATTAAAAATGTGGTACTTGCCCAGAATGGAGTATTACTCTGACTTGAAAAGGTTAAACTTGAGTCATTTATAGGAAAATGGATGCATCTTGAGACCACAATGTTAAATGAGATAATTCAGACACAAACTTAAATATTGCATGGTTTCTCTTACATGAAAACTACATACACATATTTATACATATAAACACATATAATCTGTCATATATAGGACATATATATGACAGATAATACAAAAAAGAAAAATAAAATATATTGCATTGTAATCAAGCATGGACAATGTATCCGAAAGTACTGCAGTAACCCCGGTAACCCGCTAACCAATTGCACCACTGGAGCTTCAAGGACAGTGTATCTAAAAGTGTATCTTGAATTAGTATAATTGTCTTTCAGGTTCTATATATTCTTTGGCCTGCAAGTCTGGTTTTTGATCTGTACACATGAAAATTAACTTTATGAGGTTTTAAAAATAAATGAATGTGATGCAGGAAAAATAAGAGGGGTGGAAGAAAAGACAATTGAAATGTGTTATGCACAAGCCCCCATCCCCTACAGAATGACAATGCTACAAGCTTGTACTAATAAAAGTTTTGTTTTGTTTTGTTTTTTAATGTATCCAGGCCCTTAAAATAAAATCTCTCCAGATACTAAAACACTTGTTGAAAGTAAGACTGCAAACTCCCCACTCCACCGAGCTCTGACGGTAGCAAGAAGCTGTTTTCCTCTATGGTTCTTTTTTCCTGCTTGCCTGCCTTATTCATCAAAATAGATTTCCAGATCCAGCGAAGACATGGATTCGCAGTGTTCCCTGAGCGCATCTCTCGGGGGGCCCCTTGTTCCCAGGCTGCCAGCTTTCTCTCAGATAAGAGTCCCACACGCACCCCTGAGCCTCGCTTTCAGCCACAGGTCATCAGGCACGCCGCCGTGGACATTGATTATCCTCCTCACTTTGGCTCGGAGGCAATAACTGTCTGTCAAAACGGCTACTGCCAGCAGCAATCACTTTTTAAAGGGACTGAGCACTTCTGAACATTTTTAACTTGAACATAACATATCTTCAACAGTTAAAGAGCAGCTTTCTCCACGAGAGTACTTCTTTTTAGAAGTGCTTTCCAATCTATTATCTCTTTTTTATTATCTTAACATTTCTGTGAAGCAGGTAAAGCAGCTGAAAGAACAGGATGCCGGAGAGACCGGCGGACGCGGGCGCGGCCACAGCTACTCCACAAAGGTACTTTTTCTTATTAAGTCTAAATCTCAGATGACACCAGACTCTGATAACCTTTCCAGTGTACCAGACAGAAGCTGACCCCTTATCTGCCTTCTGAATTCTTGCCCCCCCAACTCAGACATCCTCAATTTTCTTCTGCCATTTCCAGAATACTCTGATATCTCTTCTTTTTGGATCTGTCCCATCAGTGCTACCTTAGAATAAATTTAAGAGGCGCCGTCCTTTCCAGTGAATTCCATGTCTCTTCATTCACTCATCTCATGGTTCCTGAGGACTAATTCTGTTCTGGGCACCAGGCCAGGGGAACATGAAATAATCAACATCCTTGTTGTCATACGCTTATGTTCTGGGGTTCAGGGAAGGACACAAATGAAGTATACTTGAAAGGGGGCATATTTGATCTGAGATTTGAATGATAAAGAGGAGCCACCTGATGGATCTGTCTTGGTTTGTGGTTCATGCAAGAACAGTATAATACAGGACACATTTTGTAATAGTACTTTATAATGAATCAACCAAGAAACATATACAAGTGCA